TAATAGTGTTTGTAAATATGATATCATGTCTGCATCTTGTACAGCAAATAACCACTAGGAAGAATGTATGCAATGTATTAATTATTGAAACTGTCCTACCAATTTGATTTGAAACTGTCTCATTGCTATTTGTTTCTCAATAAAATTATGGAAAAAAAAAAAAAAAAAAAGCAGGTATGTTCTCCAAAAAGGGTGATTTTGCTCCTAAGTGACAGTAATATCTGAAGACATTTTTCATTGTCACAAGAGGATAAATGTCTAATCGTACCATTCAGGAAGTAGAAGCCTAGTTCTGTAAACTGTAAAGATTCTGCAATGCACATGATGCCCTCTTGCAAGAATGAACCACCCTAAAACGCAGGGCCAATTTGCTCCAGCTGATCAAAGTAGGGAGAAGTAAATGAGACGGCTCAGAAGGACTTGGTATGCTGTGCAACTTTAGGCAAATCGTTAAGTTTTTAAATTCATTTTCTTAGAATCAATAAACAAGCAATTGTCATCTAAAAAAAAATAAAGCTTCATACACAGAAAACTAAAAACACCTATGAAAGAATCTGAAAACATGTGTCCAAGGACTGGAAGAATATTGTTAATATGTCTATATTATGCTAAACAATCTACAGATTCAGTGTAATTGCTATCAAATTTCATTTTTTACGGAAATAGAACAGGCAGTCTCTAAATTCATATAGAATCACCAAAGATTTGGAAGAGCTAGAGCAGTCTTCAACAAAAAGAACCAGAGGAATCATACTATTGCCTGATTTCAGCATATACTACAAAGTTATGATAATTACAACAGCATGGTACTGGTACAAAGACAGACATATACAATAACTAAACTAAATAGAACAGAACAAAAAGCCCAGAAATAAATCCGTGCACTTATGATCACCTGAACACATCACACAATAAGGAAAGCACATTTGCTTCAATAAACGGCGTTAGAAACCTAAATAATCACATGCAGAATTAAATCAGACCCTTATATTACACCACATTTTTTAAAAAAGACTTTCAAAATAGATTTAAACATAAGATCTAAAATTTAAAATTATTGGAAGAAATCAGAAGCAAAAGTTTCTTAAGAATAGTTTGAGCAAAAATCATTTTGGATATGACCACATCAGCACAACCATCACAAGCAAAATTAAACAAAGGGGACCACATCACACTAAAAGGTTTCTGTATGTCAAAGGAAACAATCAGTGGAGCAAACAGCTTACAAAATGGAAGAACATTTTTGCAAATAATATATATGATAAAAAATATATATCTAACATATGTGTAAGGAACTCAACAGCAAGAAAATCCTAATTAAAAATGGGGAAGGGCACTCAATATTTCTCAAAAGAAGACTCACCACTGAATAAGGTGTACAACATCATTAATCAGTAAGGAACTAAATCATGAAGACAACAAGCACTAATTTAATTATAAAGGCACTAATTCCATCTGTGAAGACTCTGCCATCTTACCTACAAAAGGCCCTACCTACTAATACCACATGAGGGGCTAGAATTTCAGCATGAATTTGGAGGGCCATGAACACTCACTCTATAGTACAGTACTAATATAACTGAATCTCCTGAAAACTAAACATTCTAAAAACAACCATTCATAAAAACTTATTTACATAAATATCAGCAACATCTAAAACCATTTAAAATATATAATGGCAACTAATCAGCATTGTAGTAATTATATATAAGAACATACCTAACTTTAGAAAATGTCTGTTAAGCATATACTCACCCGTAAAAGTTCTCTCCCTGTTATCCCGATTCTGCTGTAGAGTTTGTACTTCTTTTGCAATTTTTTGCTTTTCAGTTTCTAAAGCTTCCAGAATTTTTGCATGACGGATGCTGTGGTCTTCTAAAGCCTAATTGGTATTTATTCATATAGACACATACATACACAAGGATGCAGAGAGAGAAATTGAAAAATCAAATTCAGATAATAGCCATGCTCATTGATATCACTATAGTAAGCATTTTACTATTTCTATGTATGTATCCCATATCATTTTGCATACCCTAATTTCATACAATAAAATCATTTTTTAAAAAACTACAGTGATGATGGTGATACATTATTATTTGGCCTCATTTTACAGCATTTTTATTATGTATAAACCACTAACATGTTTTATTAAACATAAAAGGCCTATTAAATGATTTTTAAAATGTCTTAATAATATGACTTTACCAACAGTAACATCAGGAGGAATTTTTGAGGGGATAGTCTGTTTCTTCAAGACTCAGAATACCAAAAGTAATCCTGGGTAAAAACGGCAAAGCAAGCAATCTCACAATCCCAGATTTGAATTTATACTACAAAGCTAAAGTGACAAAAACAGCATGGCACCACACAAAAACAGACAAGAGGATCAATGCAACACAACAGGGGATGCAGACATAACACCAAGCCCATTCAACAACTTGATCTTTGGCAAGGGGTTAAAAAACATATAGTGAATTGAAGTTCATCTTTTTAACAAATGTTGTTGGGAAAATCGACTACCCACACTCAGAAGATTGACTCTAGACTCCTATCTCTCACCATGTACTAAAAGAAAATAAAAATTGATCAAAAATCTAGATGTTAAAACAGAAACACTTAACCTAGTGGAAGATAAAGTAGGCAAAACTCTTGATGTCAAAGGCACAGACACAACTTTTGGCACGGAACCTTGCTTGCACAAGAAATAACACAGAGAATCAAAAAATGGGACTCTATCAAATTAAAAGGCTCCCGTACAGCAAAAGAAACAACCAACAGAGTGAAAAGACAACCTAAGGGATGGGAAAAGAATTTTTGCCAGCTATTCTTCAGATAGAGGACTACTATCTAGATTATATAAAGAACTCAAAAAACTTAGACCGCTCCCCCCAACAAAGACCACATCAAAGCAATGGACAAGTGAAACAAATAGGCAGTTCACCGAAGTGTAAATGGCCAATAAGCATATAAAGAATGCTCAATTTTGCTAGCCATTATGAAAATATTAATTAAACAGTGAGATTTCACTTAACTCCAGAAAGAGTGGTCATAATCAAGAAATCAAATAACAAATGTTGGTGAGGATGTGGCTAAGAGGGAACCCTTTTACACTGCTAGTGGGAATGTAAACTAGTACAACCACTATGAAAATCAACAAAGATACTCTTGAAAAACTGAAACTAAAAATTTCATTTGACCCAGGTATTTTTCTTAATAGTTATTTTAGTTAAAGAGTTACAAGCATTATAGTGCAGAGATACATGAATACCCATGTTCATAGTAGAAAAATTCATAAGTAAATCTTGGAAGCTGCCTATATGTTCCATCAGCAGATGAATGAATAAAGAAGATATGGTATTTGTACACAATGGAATATTAATCTACCATAAAGAAAAACTGGAGTCATTTGTAGGAAAACGGACATACCTTCAGTCCACTATGGTTATTGAAACAAATCAAATACACAAGCTTAATTATCATGTGGTTTCTGTCATGTGAAAAACATAAAATAGGGGTTGGTGATATAATTAGTTGCATAAGCACCTGCCTGGTAAGCGCAAGGTCCTGATTTCAACTCCCATGCCAAAAAAAAAAAAAAAAAAACCAGAAAAAGAAAAATCCAAAACATAAATGAAGAGAAAAATAACATATACTAGGAAGTAGGAAGATAGATCTTTCTCAGATAGGAAGGTGATCAAGAGACGGAGGGAGCACAGAGTGAGGTAGGGAAAAGAAGGTGAGAAAAGGAATTGGAAGCGTTATGTACAAACTTCACACAAGGAGTGTAAACATTATATACTACAAACATGCACTTATAAAAAACCTTAAAATATTTTTAAAATAACTCTTCTTCCCATTAATATGAAATAAAGATCTTTTAGGGAAAAATAAGAAAAGTATTGCTCAAAACAGGCACACTAAAGAACAATTATTTACTAAATAAGTTACACAAATACAGAAGCTCCAGTGGCACAATCGGTTAGTGCATGGTATTTATATAACAAATAAGCATTATAATACCCTAGTAATACCATTTTTCAAGATTTAAACAGCTCACTTTTCTCTTAAAACTCTGAGGTGGTGTATGTCATAGAGTAGACTAGTAGTGCTATCACTCAATTATAGCATCAGTACTTTGGGATTACTAGGAGGATTTCTTTCTTCTACCCTTATTCTCATCTCAAGCCAGAAACTTAGAAAAAAAGAGGAATGAAATTGTCATTTGAAAGTAAAACCCAAAGAAAGCAACAAAGAGGGATTAAAATAGTGGCCTCACGCTTAAACCCTCATCAGCATCTGCAGGGCTTGCTGACGCAGACTCTGGGCTCCACCCTAGGCTTTCTGATTCGGTGGCTCTGGAATGATCTGACAACCCGCATTCCTAACTGTTCTGATGGTGCTGCTGTTGCTAGTCAGGGACCACACTTTGAGAACTACTAACATAAAGAATGTGGTCAGGTAACTAATATTCAGGATGTACCTTCAATCTTGTGAACTTGATTAATGTGAATCAGCCCTGGAAGGCCACCTTAGTCCTCAATGACATGACAGAAGTAGGTACTTGAGCTCATAAAACTGGGGTATTGAATGCTGCACAGTGAGGTCTCCTGGAAAAAAGCCTACATGCCTGCCATTCTTTCATGGGCAGACAATGGTTCATTCTGACACCAGGATATGGCTCAAAACAAGCTGTGCCTTTTCCACTACTACAAATTGTACCCTGATGCCATTTCATTTATTTATGTTATTTGGCATGACAGAAGACAGGACAATAGTAGACATACAAACAAGAAAAGCAGAACCATGTGGAAATAAGGGTTCTGTTTCTTCCTAAATATCCTGTGCTGATGAGTAGTTCTGTGAGCAGGATCAGGACATAAAGCTTTGGGCAAGAACCGTTCACATTTAGAGATCTGGACTTGGCTCACTTCTAACAAGATACCACAAGGCTTAAAAAAAAAAAAAATCACCTTTTTGTCAGCATGCAAGAAACAAGCTATAAAATGAAATTACCTGCTTTGTAGCCAAAGTCTCCATTTCTAATCGCTTTTTGTTGACATACACTTCCTGTTCAAGATGTAGCTTTGTCTTTTCCAGTTCCTCAATTTTATGATTAGCCTTTTGATTATTTATTTCCTGCAATTTCTTCCTTTGAGATTCTTCTCTCTTTAGAGAATATTAACACAAAGGTGAGGCAAAAATGCAGAATAATTTTTCAAAAGTATTACCCTCCCCCAAATATAAATCTCTTTCTTAAGTTAATGCACAAGAAATTACTAATAGAAAAACTGCTCTACACCTTCTCCACCGGATTCAGGCTACTCATCTAAATAAAAAAAAAAAAAGGTTACTAGTCAAACTTTATTTTAGAGTACACTTTTCCAAAATGAATTCCTGGGAATTAATGCCAGTAAAACAAAGGAGCCTCTCTATTTTCTGCCCTTTTCCCCAGCCATTTCTACTGCAAACTTGCTTCTTGAAATAAAACTAAGGCAGGCCAACATTCACTGTAGCCCTCACTGCCTAAATCTCTGGCAGTCCTTCACTTCCCTATGAGGTCACAACTGACATTAAGTCAGCACATCATTTGGGCTGCACTATCCAGAGGTAAGAGACCAACTCTGTACATACCAGTTCTGCTTCTAGCGCTTGTATTTTGCTTTCATATGCAGCTTTTTGAGAAGAAAGCTCTTGCTGAGCCATTTCTTTTGCAATTTGGATTCCTTGCATCATTTCTTCTTTTGCCTTCAACTGTGCCTCTTTTATTTCTGCCTCAAGTCTACAAAGAAGCAAGATATTGACAGGTTACATTGTGAATAATTCCTTATATGCCCAAAGAGCTTCTATCCTACTAAAATGCTTTCTACTGAACACAGCTTTACATTCTAATTTCTGACATTCTAGCAATAGTGTTCTTAAAATTGTCATTGGTTCTACAATTGCTTCACAAAAAATATAACGGAATGAAAACTTAACTTATTTCCAAGTTACTCTTATAGATGTCTAACATCTAAATGAATACATTTTTCTAATGCTTAAGAAAATAAGTTACATAAACATAGTTAAAACACAGTAAATGCAAAATAAGGATATTTATAGTCAAATCATAATGGTTAGAGAAATTATACTTTATATATCAATAACTGTTATGTTTGGGACACAGAAAAGAAAATCCTGAAGTGACTTTAAAAATACAGTATACAAGAGCTTGTGGCATATATTCAACTTTTGTAATAATTTGACAATCAGCTTTATCACTTTCCCAATATATAGGAAAAAGAGCATTTACAATTGCAGATATCAAAAAAGTGTAATCCTTCCCAATAAAAATTGCTTTAGCACTGCACTGAATAGAAATTTCCATTTCCAATTTTAAGAAACAGTTAAGAATGTTACAAGATAGATGCTGGAGTTTACTGGAGGGTGGGAGAGAGGAAGATGATGCACTATTGCTTACTGAGTGTAAGTTCAGTTTGGGATGAAGAAAAGTACACATGGTAGCACAAAAATATGAATGTATTAAATGTCACTGAATTGCATAAAATGGTACATTTTCAGGCTTTTTAAAAGATGATCCAACATCAGTACCCTTCTTCATTCCTTTCTCTAGGCCTCTTTACTCAGCAAGTCTTACCAATTTTTAGTCTCCTTTATATTTCTCTCCATCTAACTACAATTTACCGTCCTTCACTAGTTTCTTCATTGCATTTATTGCTTGCATACATTTGTTCTACTTTTAATCCCTCCTCCAGACTGGCACCATGATCCCTCTAAAATGTGTCAAAATCACAAATGTGTCATATCTGCTTAAAATTCCTTAAACGTTCTCCTTCTTTTAAGATAAAGCTTACTCTCTTTTTTAAAAAAAATTTTTTTTTCTAGTACCAGGGATCAAACTCATAGCCTTGAGCTTGCCAGATAGGCACTTATGCCATTGAGCTATATCCCCAGTCCAAAGTCTACACTCTTTAGTATTTTATTTTGTATATCTACCATTCAGCTTATAAGGATAGGCCAGAGATCCTACAATATAGCATGAACTAAAACTGAGGCAAAAAGAAGAAAAACAAATATTCACTCCTTCCCAGGGTGAGTTCCAATGCTGCACTGGACTCTGCTACAGGGACATCTTCTCATCCCCTATAAACTTTCACTGACCCCTGGAGGGGATCAGATGTCACAGAAGAAGCTTCCACATCACCCAGTAGAGGACTCTGTCAGTTCTATGGCATGATCAATTTCCTCCAGAGTAGGGGCTAAGTTTCAATTACTATTATTCTTTGCATCCCCAGCAATTGGTACAGTGAGACACATATTAACTGTTCATAAATGTGTATTGAATCAACGAATGTACCACAAGGAAAAAAAACACACCACTGGAAACTAAAGTAACTACTGGAGCCTCGGGCAACATGATTAATAAGCTCCAAAGGCTTCCCTCATACACTTACTACTTCGTATCAATGGCAATACTTACTGTGATTTCTGTGCCACGAGTAACTCATTTTTGGCAAATTCGAAGTCTTTAGGACCCTCGCTTACAAAAGTATCTTTACTAGATGGTCTTTTTCCCTTTTGGACTTCAACTGGGTGATTAAATCTAAAATAATGATCTCCACCAAGAATCACCCGATCACCCTAAAGCACACAAAAAAATTCACTACTTGAAGTGAGTCTGAACCAAAAAATTATATGAAAAAAACCCATGTATTAAATAATTCAAAATAAAGCCATATTACTAATAAAAGCATAAAAATCAGAGCAACTACCATTACCTTTTATAGGTTAATCACTGTAACAAATAATATATATATATATATAAAATCTCATTATATCTCACAACTCAATCAGATACAAATTATCCCAATTTTAGGAAAGGGGAAACTGAAAAGCACAGACTTTAATAACATGAGACCTTCACTGAGAGCTTACTAATTTCAGGCAATGTTTTAAAAATTACAAATTATTTTATTTAATCCTCACTGCCCCTACCTTCACTACATAGAGAACAATCATATGTTTTGGTTTGCCTCCAATCAACATAGTAGTTTATGCATGTTCTCCTGATGTATTTAATAATGCTCTAAAGTGTCCTGAATGGGTGATATTATTTGATCACCTCGTTGCCAAATATCACGTAGTAAATGGCAGACGCAGGGTTTCAAGCCTGTCTGGCCCAACTGCAAAGCCACATAAGGTGCTGCCAATGGACAGCACGGTAGTGATTGCTTCACAGTAATACAACTTTTGTCTTTGTACAAAGAAATAGCAAATAATGAATTAATAGGAACTAGAATTTTTGAAATGGTAAGTTTGTAATCCAGATCAACTCCTTTATCTTACAAGACTAAAAGAAACTGAATGACTTGCCCAAAATGAGTTTCTTACATTGTGACACCATCCACTTACATGATGTAACACCGTGGGCTCCATAATGTGTTTCCCATTCACATATGTCTTTGCTTCAGCAACTGGGATAATACTCACTGTCCCTCCAAAATTTCTGACAGTACTGTTAAAATAAGAAGCACATTGTTACAAACACAGGATGCTCTAAAAGAGAAAGCCAATATTCTTTTGATGTTCAGAACAATTTGCAGCAACAACCTAAAATTGCTTTATTTTCCTCAACAGGATATTGAAGTTAGATGAAGAAAACACGGCCTCACTAGCAATTCCATCCAATGGTTGTGGGAGGAATTTCCATTCTATGTATTTTGACTATTCTAAATGCAAATCAAAAACTTTACCCCAAAATGGAAAAACACACAGAAAAAAAACTCAAGGAAAAAAACATTAAAATATAGATAATAGTTGGTTATGAGTGCAACAGCCTAAAGTGTTTTCATTTTTCTAAGTTCCTAGTTTTATAAATGAGCCCCAGGAATAGAGATAAAAGCATCCTCTAACTAATCTAATTAAATGAACCCTAACTATAAGATGACACTGGAAAATCAGCCATACATGCCGCATGTTCCACATGGTCTTTTTACTGAGAGAATAAGAGAGAGATTCCAAAATCCTGTTTATCTTTGACCTAAATAGAAAGGGAAAACTGCAGCAAAAGCTGAGTCTTAACCAAAGACCTTGTGCTACTGATTAGGTTTCAAAATATGTATTTAGAGAAAAATAGTTCAATTAACACATATAGAGAAAACAATAGCTGGAAAATAGTCGACACTTAAGCAGTACCTCCTTCTCACCAGTGCAGGATCTTACCCAGGAAAATGATCATATAATGTTTACTTGTTCTCATCCCTTTCCTCTCCTACTTTTATTTACTCTATCTTCAAAATTCCATGGCCTGGCAGCATTATGGACCCCACATAGTATGGTTTCAACCACTACTCTTCCCCATCTGCCACTGTTTCCCCATAAGAACTCCACCTCACACCAATCAACCACAGCAATACCCTGAACTTGCCCTAACCCAGGCTTCCCTCCTTTCTTTGTGTCATTCCCTCAACACAGGATGTCCTTGTCCTTATCTCTATCATCCTTCCAAGCTCAGTTTTCCTGGTAGCGTCCTTGAAGTTCTTCATTAGAGCTAAGCCAGTGTGAATTCTAGTATGCAGCACTTATCTTAATGTTGATATAGACATTAACGAGTACTGAAATCTTTTATTCATTGAGCCCTAGTCAGATATATGTCATCCACAAAAATAGATATGAAATCAGCTCTCATGAAGAGTGGGGAAAAATTTTAGTTAGTTGTCCCTCAGACAAAGGGTTAACATCTGGACTTCATAAAGAATTGAAAAGAATCAGATCCACCAAACTTAAGGACTCAATCCAAAAATGGGCATCTGAGATAAGTACACATTTCTCAGATGAAGAAATACAAATGGTGAATAAATATATGGAAAAAAAATATTCAACATCACTTCATTTGAGAGATACAAATTAAAACAATGCTGACATTCCATTTCACTCCTGAAAGAATGGGTATCAAGAAATCAACCAATACCAAATGCCAGAGGGGCTACAGGGAAAAAGGAATCCTTCTCCACTGGTGGAGGGTGTGTAGACAGGTGCAATGAGGGGAGATTCCTCAAAAAACTAGGACTAGAGGTCCCATTCAACCCAGCTATGCCTCTTCTAGGTATCTTCCTGGAAGAAATAAAAACATCATACTGCAGTGATATATGTGTACCCATGTTTACAGAAAAAATTTATAATAGCTAAACCTTGGAAACAACCCAAATTCCCATCAACCAAGTAGTGGATAAAAAAGATTGTGGCCTTTTTATATGTTGCAGTGTTATCAGCCCTAAAAAAGGATAAACTGAGCCATTTTTAGGTAAATAGATACACCTTGAAACCACACTCTCAAGTAAAATAAATTGGACACACATGTAACTATCACACTCTCTCAATTGTGTGAGAAACTGAAAGTGTAAATAAGAACCAAAATGTACAACAGATTTTGTGAAATAGGAAAAAATTTTCAACAGGGAAGAGTAATGAGGGAGGGGATAGGGGAAAGGAAAAATGGGAAAAGGGAAAAAAAACAATAAAAGGATAAAATTGAAACAAAGCTTTTGTAAATATGGAGGGGAAGAGGGGCTAGACGAAGGGAAGGAGATTGGGGAGAAAAGGAATCAAGATATATCATATATATATTCAGGTATAAGCGCCCTATGATGAATATGATCATTATGTATAGCTCAAATGTACCAATAAATTTTAATTTTAAAAATATATGGAAGCCTAATGAAAATGAATAGGCACCTCTACTTTTAGAAGATTAACATACCAGTGATCATCAGCAATCAGCACCCCAGATAACTGAATGTCATGGTTTGAGTTTGGTTTATACTTTCCAACTGTAGTTGTTCCTTCTTTTATCATATATAGCAGCATCTCAGATAGTTGTGGATCCTCATTCAGATTAACAAGGTTTGGCAAGTGGTTGTCCATTTGAAATGTAATTCCTGCTTTCTGGTAGAGATCAGAAAAAAAAAAAAATCTGAGCTACAACATGAAATTATTCACTTAAAACAGTACATACTAGATATTAGAATGATCTCCTGTGATGTTTCAATAAATGAAAGAATTCTTGGTAAGAGGGCTATAGTTCAGTGGCAGTGTGTGCTTGACAGGCATGAGAACTTGGATTCAATCCCCAGCATCAAATAAACAATTACCATCATTCTCTTACTCTTAGAATTCTGCTGATCTCTCTTTGACATTCATCAGCTTCAATACACCTCATGTACCAACCCATCATCAACACACTGCATCTATTCTTATCGACCAGTTGAAGGAACAATTCTTTTTCCCTGTCGTTACCTTAATTCTGGCCCTTAGTAACTCTCACCAGAACTACTGCTATAGCAGCTTCCTATGTCACTCTGTCAACGATTTCTTCTATTTTTAATCCATTTTAGATACCACAGATTAATCCTCTTAAAAGAGTGCTCTGAACATGTCAAATCCCTGACCAAGCACTTTCAATGGTCTCCCACTCCTATAAAACTTAAATTATTTGGCTTGCCAATCAAGTCTTTAACAAACTAATAATATATGTTTCCAATTGTATACCCTGATGAATTCTTAAATAAAGAGCTTATCACAAAACTAATTCACACACTCTTCTGAGGACACATTAAACTTTCCCACATTTACTCTCATAAAATTTTCCCTTCCTAGAATATCTTCTTTATCCCTACTTAGCGAAATCTTATCAAACTTCAAAGTCCACCTCAAATCCTACCTTTTCTTAGAGTTTGTGGTTTAAAAAAAAAAAAGACTAGCCATTCCTAAGTTTTTTCTCCTTTCTCTGAAATAGAACTCCTCTACTACTCTACCAATCACTTGAAATATGTTTCTGTCACTACCTTGGTTCTTGATTTATATTCCTCAATATCCTTTACAATTTTATTCCATAAAAATTCTAATTCCTATGCAAAATATTCAAGTAGTTTCCATCCTTTAAACAAAAACAAACAAGCTGAGCCTGGTGGCACATACCTATAATCCCAGCCCTATGGAAAGCTGAGGTCTGAGGATCACAAGTTCAAGCCCAGTCTGAGCAACTTGGCAAGACCTTGTCTCAAAATATAAAATGAAAACAGCTGGGGACTGTAGGTCAGTCAGACGGCTCAATCCCAGCAGCACAAAACGTAAAGCTCAATAAGACTCCCAAAACTTCCCTTCAATCTGGTTTTTGTTTTTGTATTTTAAAGAAGGGTCTACAGGGTGCTCAGGGTCTCACTACTAGATCAAACGTAGTGATCCACCTGTTTACAGCCTCCCAAGAGCTGGGATTATAGGCGTGTGCCACAACACCCAGTCTCAATTGCCGACTCAGTGCACCCTGGGGACGAGGCCGGCAGAGCAGGCCCGGGGAATCAAATTCTGGACCCCTGCTCCTGCTTGCAGGTGCTTTAATCCACTGAGCTATTTGGCTGGCCCTAATTTGCCTTCAATCTTAATAGTCCCTCTTCCCAACTTCTCAAAATTTTTATTCCCAAATACTACAGTTCCATTGCATGGCTCTCTACTTCATTCCTGCCATCACAAAACCCACAGTCATCTGGCTTCTTTTGCCAGCAATACAAAGACCCCATAATTTCACAGTGCAGCACTCACATTTTCAAAACCGGGTAGTCATTCTTGACTTTTTTTTCTCAATGCCCTCATCTGAAGACAGCTCCTTACCTGATCAATTTTACCTCCTTTCTCTTTTTTTAATCTAACTTCTCCACTACCCATTCCTATGACTGTTGCTTTATTCCAAGGTCTCAGGCTCTCTTGCATATAACCACACCAACAACTTCCTAATCATTTCCCTGTCCTCAACAGTTTTTGCTTCCTCAGCTCCATCTTTCACAATATTGCCAGAAGAATCTTTTGAAAACAGTCTGCTCATGTCAGTCCTCTTAAACACAAAAGTCTTTCTGCATCCCCTACATTTAAGTTCCTACATCTTCTTCCAGCGTCAACTCTGTACAAGCCTTGATGTCCAACTACATGAAACTTAATTCTTTGGGCATCCAAGCTGTGTACCTTTGTGTACCTCTATGCTTTTAAGCATGGTAGTCCTTTACTTAGGATTTTGGTTTTGTTGACCTAGCAAATTGCTCCTCTCCATCGTATAAAACTTTGCTGAGTCATTTCTTTCTTTTTGAAGTCCTCTTTGATAACTATTCTTTTCAATTCTAAGTTATTTATTCCCACCTCTCTATTCTTTTACATGTGTTTCACTGCATTAGAACAAACCATATGAAATTGCCAGTGTCTGATCACTTTTTTACAAAATAAAAAGTCATAGTGCCATGTAATCAAATCACATGACATTTTAGTCTTCTAATTACTATGATCTGAGAGTTAGAACTTAGATATTCATCTTGGCCTCTCTTCCTTGTGTCTGGTACAACAGATATTTAATAAATATTTATGGAAACAAAGTAAATAAATCAAGACAGTTTGTTTATATTTTATTTCTAACTAGCTTATAGACTCTAAACAATCACAACCTTGATCTTAACAATTCTTTATAACCCCTTCTGATAGTATTGTTTTGTACAGTTAGTATGCAATAAATATTTGCAAAATTTACATATTTGCATATTTATTTCCAAATCAATGTATAAAGTTAAAAAGATACCTGTAATTCCTTTGTTTCTTGATGTTTCCTTTTTTCAGCTTGCTCAAACTTTTCTTTCCATACTCTTTCGAAAGACAAAGAATAGTTAAAACATATATATATATATATATACATACATATACATCTTTGGTGGCTGGAGATGACCAATAAAGTTTAGGAAACTACCTAATAAATTTAAAATATGACAGTCTCAAAGGAGGCTGTTCTATTCATATAGAAAGTAGAGAGAAAAATGACTCAGCATCCTCTTACAGTCCCTCCTAGTCCTCTAATTCTACAGCAACACATTTAGCATTTAAGGATTGACTGTTCACCTTTGCATTTCTGCCATGTCTCTCTCTTGCTGATGCAGTTTCATTCGTAAGGATGTGATTTCTTGCCGACACAGCCTATATCGTTCAGGGTCAATGTTGGGATTGTTTCTTTGAGCAGCTTTTAGCTTTTCAATTTCTGCTTTCAGTTCTAAAGATTTATAAGATGCATGATTAACAACATTAGATATATAATTTCCATAACAGGCTTAAATCATCTAATCTTTTATTTCACTTGAAGTTGTTAATATTACTAAATAAAATTCTTTGAGAACTCAAATTTGCTTTACTATATAATTTATAAATCTCTCCCAGTCAAAAGTGCTCCTACACTGAGCCAGCAAGAATAGCTCAGTGGACTAAACACAAGGACTGGGGTTTGATCCCCAGCACCACATGCCATGCTGGCCCCGCCCCCCCACCCCCAGTCGGGGTGTGACGGCACACACCTGTAATCCCAGCATTGGGGAGACTGAAAACAGGAGGATCACTACAAGTTGGAGCTGCGTGGTGAGACCCTGCACCAAATACATTTAAAAAAATAAAAGTGCTCCCACATTAATGAATCCCCTGCATAATAGGATGAACATATAATATACTCTCCAAAGTGGGAAAATTTTGAGATAAAGAGAGCATTACTAATTATACAATACTGGAACCATGGTCATAAACTGGAATTGTCCTAGACAAACCCTACCCTTAATGACACATGGAATAAGTAGGGCTTGGTGGCCTACTCCTGCCACCCCTGCATTCTGCTGAGCCAACACAGGAGGATCCCTGCTCAAGCTCAGCCTGGTCAGCTTAGTGACTCAGTGAGATTGCCTCAAAATAAAAAATACAAAAGGAGTGGGGATATAGCTCAATGAGAATGCTCTGGGTTCAACCCCTCATACACAAAGAAAAAAAATGAGAAAGACCTAACATTGCTCAAGCTGGAATTTTTAAGGAAAATAGTCCCATTTGTAAAACAGATAGGATTCAAAAGGAAAAGAGTGAACTGAGGTTAGGAAAACAAATTCAACTGACTCTTCTCTGTGTCATGTCTCTGAGGTATTTACTGCCTTCTGCTGCTAAAGAGCCAAGGATTTCTGGGCATGCTGTGACACCCTGTAATCCTAGCTACTAAAAAAGGAGGAAAAAACAACAACTAGCTTCACTGTTAATGTTGCTGCACACACTTAGGATTGTAAATGTTTTTAATGCTTGTTATGAACCCTTTATCAACGTTATTTTCTATGGTCCTTTTCTGATTGATTTTTCCTAAGGATTTTTTTTTTATGTATATTAGTACAGTGACTACAGGATCTCACTACACAGATCAGACTCATCCTGATCCTCCTGTCTTCAGCCTCCCAAGTGCTGGGATTACAGGCATGCACCACCACACTCAGTTTCAGTCACCATCTCAGCACGCCCTAGGGGCAGGGCCTGCATAGCACAGTGCGGATTGAACCCTAGTGCCTGCACCTACGCAGGCGCTTTAGTCCGCTAAGCTATTTGGCTGGTGGCCCCCCTTAGTAATTATTCTTATTCTCACTGTCCTACCTATCGTTTTCCATCATTGTATGCTTTATGGCTAAAATCTATTATAAATAGACATAGACGAAAAAAGTTTGCTTTGCTAAAAATTTGCTTATTTTAAGAGTGGGATTATAAATAGGTATGTGAAAAATCTCTGGATTTTCTTAAAATTTCCTGTTTTAAGACTAAAATTAATATGTGTGTCTGAACTGTAGCAAAATAGGTTTTTAAAATTCTGAGAAACATACTCACCTCTAATTAACTTGGCATTCATATCCTCATTTACTCTGGCAATGTTGACTATCAAACGAGCTTGGTTAGCATACCTAAGTGTGCTTAATGTTTCTTCTATGTTGCTGGCAGCAGGACTGATTGTAGCAATCATTGCAGTTTTTGAATTTCCACCTAGGCTTTCTTTTAACAACCTTCAAGGAAAAAATTCCTAATTAGACTTTGCTTCTACAACAACCTAGTAATAGTTATTGCAAAAGCAAAAAACAACCTAATAAGGTATATAACACAATGTTAAGTCTCTTCATTCAAATATCATTTAAAACTTTTTTGGTATTTATAGCTTTTTTTTTTTTTTTTTTTTTTTTTTTTTTTAGTATCATCTTGCTGTATATCTAATTGTGGCCCTGAGTCCACAATTACAAATACACCTTAGTGTCTTTATTTGCACCATGGGTTGCACTGGAAGTGGTAGACTGGAATTAACTTGCTAGAATTCCAATAACTTTTCCATGGAATTACAAAGATAAACTTCCTGGACCTTGACAAGGACCAAGAAGGGCTCACTATAATACATTAGAAATACAAAATATAATTACTAATTATAACAATTACCAAGAGGTTATATGTTAACCAGTATGCTGCAAACAAAAAGCAATTATTCACTTTGACCATACACACAGTAATGTTTGATAATATGAAACATGTTAGATGCAAATATAATAATTGATATAGTAACGTTTGATAATATGAAACATGTTAGACACTAGTAAGACTAGTTGTTTTATACTCGTATAGTACATATATTGATTAAAAACTTTTACATCAATAATTTAATTCTCTATAATTATAAAAGATAGTATTAACAATAATCATTATTTTACAAGTAAGGAAACAGGCTAAACCATTAAGTGATTTTTTTTTTTTCCTAGTCACAGAGCTTCTAAAGCTGATATTCAAACCCAGACAGTTTGGCTCTGAAATTCACACTACTACGCATTTTTGTCTATCCCAAAGTTATAGAACGTCAGTTTCTCATTCTGTCCTCACAGTATTCATCATATTTTATATAGTTTTTTACAATTCAAAAGATACTTGCCATGTAAGAACAGATTCACGGTAAGGAATAAAAACCCTCTTTCGGTTTGCTTGCTCAGAAAGTGCAGATATAACCTTTCCCAAAGTTAGCAAGGACTTGTTAATGCTCACACCTTCCTGTATATAAAATTTAAAAAAAAAATTAACTTTTGAGCAACAAATTTCACAAGATATATTATTCCCCTAATACAATTATTCAGTAAATATTTTCCTCCATAAACTTTCTGGTTTTGGTCAAGCATATTCAGTCTGTATTCTCATAAAAATAGTGCCCCAAGGCGAAGTGTGTGCAAAGTGGTCAGATTTACGCTTTGGTGAGAGGAATCAAAGTGTGTCATCTAGCTGTATTGTAGAAATACATTATTAACTCTGTGGGAACATGCCTTCTTGCTATGCCTTAATTGTACAGATCTGGTCACTCTCAGACACAGGGCTTGTACTATGCATGTACTCTGTTGCTCTAGGTCTCTTTATGCAGCATTTTAACTGTAACTTTGACAGCACTTATATCTAAAGGCCTACTGCCATTTTTTATCTTCAGTGAAATTTGTGTTCCCAAAAGAAGCAGGATTACAATTTTTTCTAACAGATTGTGTTTGTGTAGTGTGTTCTTGGTTATCAAAAATATTATTGAAGCTCTGAGACTTTGAGTTGAATATTAGTGATATATGTGAAAGCATGACACACATTGTATAAATTCAGTCATATAAAATGGTAAGTCATGTATGTACAGGATGGGACCTAGAAGAACACATCCAGCTAAGCTGCTTATGACTGTCAATGACTTTGTTCCTTGTTTCTTGTGTTTTTATTACCTATAATGTGCATATTAACTTATAAAAAATAAAGATTATTTTAAAACTCAAAAATAAAAGTAGTATTTCTTGGAATTTCATCAAAATGAGAAGAGTAGAGCTGGTAGTGGCCATGAACCTATAGTCCCAGCTACTTAGGACACTGACGCAGATCACTTAAGTCCAGGAGTTCAGTACTCACCTGAGCCATACAACAAAACCTCTTTTTTTTTTGAAATAGAATGAAAATTGTGTTTCTTTTACCTTTAGTCGATCTCCATTAGTGTGGGCTGCAGAACAGCGCTCACTGCCTGCCAGATCTACCAGATTTATGCGGCTTGTTATTCTGTGATCATGTTCTTCTCCTTCCACAATTTCTGTCTACAGCAAAATGATATTAAAATAATTTAAGTTCTTCTGTAACTTGCTATGAATATCAATCTTTAAAAGACAAACTTAGACAAGATTATAAATAATTTATTTTTAAAACCATTTCTTGCCACCAGGCATGATGACACACAACTGTAATCCCATTGCTTGGGAGGCTGAGCCAGGAGGACTGACGTGAGTTCAAAGCCAGCCTGCACTATATAGTAAGAACCTGTCCAAAAAAATAAAACAAAAAATCCCAAAATCCCTTCTTGCATCTGTAATACTTTATAGTGCATAAGTACAGAGTCTACTGAAGTAAATACACTGAGCAAAGGTTGGATTATGCCAGAATTTTAAAAATGACTTTAAAGAGATATTCAGTAAACAATAAATATAAAGCCTACACAAAGATGTTGTTATTCTCAACATAATGTTTAACATCAATGATCAACAGTAGAGGAAAAACTTGAAGTATAATAGCTAATGAAATACTGTATAGCTTTTAAAAATTATCTTTGAAATAGTTTTCATGGCATAAAAATGTTAAGAGATTTTGTGAATTTGAGTATGATTGTAAAGCAATTGAAAGATTACAAAAACAGAAATGTTTGTAGGGGTTTGAATAATGCAAAGGTTAAATTATTAAAAACCCTTTATTTCCAGATGTTTCCCCAAAGATTCTATAATTACCATATACTATTGATAATATATTACCATCAACTGATAAATTCATATAAATAATACAATAATCATTGATTCAAACAATGGCAAATAATATATTGTTATATGCCAAAAGTTCTTCAAAGATACTGTGTTTATTTTCTAAAATCCATTTGTTTATATAGTTACACAACTATACTTTTTATACTTTTACTTTTAAAGAAAATAAGAAAAACAAAACAAATTTACTATCTTACTTATAAAAATAACCAAAACAACCCAAAAAATACCTTGGTCTGGGTCATCACCAGAGTAAAAACTGAGTGAGAACGGGAGCTTTTATCATTCATACCAGTCGCAGCAGTTGCTCTCTGTTTATTTCCCAGCTCTAGCCAACTCTAATTAAAAAAAAAGGAGGTAGGTCAGGTAGGCAGACTAATTTAGTGGAAAGTGCATTTGCTTCTTACACACATTTGTAACACATTTAGAATTAGTTTATAAGACGACATTAATGTGTTTATTATATCTTTTTTATAATTTGCATTAGCTTTGCCTTTTCTTGCACAGAAACCTGAATCAGAAAATACTATCCTTAAAAAGCTATTCTCCAACTCTAACCTGACATGATAGTATTTTTAACTGAGAACATCAATTCTTTTAATTAAAACTTTTAAAAAACCAGTACACAATAAATTAACAAGATTAATCTTATATTCATGCAAACAGCATGAATTAAGTGATAATATTCTTATAAACATTTATCAGTACACTCTTCCTATCAATTAAAAAGAAGATACAGGGCTGGGGAGATAGCTCAGTAGAATAAGCGCTTGCCTGGCAAGCGCAGGGTCCTGAGTTCAATCCCCAGTACCGCAAAAAAAAAAAAAAGATACAATCAATCTTACCTGAATATCGGAGTAAGAACTAACAACATTCCTGTTTTTTAAGAAGTAAAAAAACAAAATCAATTTTACTGATTATTATAATCTTGATAACATAATACAATAAACTTCTAATTATATAATTATTGTCTAGAGTTCACAAGGGACCAATTCACAAATATTATAGTGACTCTTCCAGAATCTTTTATTGCATGCACCACTGCACCTGGATCATTTTCCTCTTTCTTAAAGAGCAGGAAATAAAACAATGCTTTAATTTTACCAAAAAGTATGACTTTTACTAATAAAGCACCTTACCAACTTAATATAACATTTAAATCTAAAAGGACACCAAAAAAAGAGATTTAACATATACACACACACCCACACAAATTCATAGGAATCATGAGTATGTGTGAATGAGAGTATTTATAAGTTTCCAAAAGAATACCTGATTTATTAACTAGAATTGAACTTATACCGAATCACTTTTTTTAAGTATTTAAAATGTTGAAAATGTAAATGACTCTTGGCATATGTAAAATTCTTAACACACTTTCTTCCCTTTCCAAATTAAAGTAATAGACAAAAAAAGAAGATTTGAGGGGGACGTTTTAACTTAATGAGAAGATAAACGGATATAGGGCACTTTACAAATGATACAAAGGATATAAGCAAATATAAAAATAAGAAATACTATATGAAGAAAAAAATTTAATTGCATAACTTTAAGGACAGAAAACTAGATAGCTGTCCAGGCCTCAGAGTGCAATGAGGGTTACGAAAAAGCAACAGTCACTCTGGTGATTTATTTCCTCCTTGCTCTTCCTGAGCCAACCACTTACATTGACAGAGCTTCAACGAACGGTCCAGAAACAGGATGCTCTCTCACTCTCAGCTAGGAGAAACAAATATTACCAGAGTTGGAGCATGAAAAATATTTCATAATAATCATTTTTTTCTCTATTTTGAGTTTAAGATTTATCTTTGTTTTGTCCAGAAATAAATACAAAGATTCTCACAAAAACAAATCTGTAAGAAACAGCTTCACCATCAAAAACTGTTTATACTTGTATAACATATAACAATATACTACACATTCAATGTCTTAGTAACTGTTTTTATTCTTGTTGAGTACTATGGTAGCTATTATTTACATGCATGTAAATCTCTCTAAAATATTTACTAAATTTCATTCATTTTTTAAAAAAATTTTATTTACATTTTAAACTTTGTGACCAGAAATTCTAAAACAAATAGAAGTCATACAAGAAAATATCATTTTGTAAGTCTCTGACATTGTCAATGGTAAGCTGCATTGTATTGGGGAAAGGTGGTAATTTCAGATTTTCATTTCTTCTGCTGCAAGGTCCTTGGTGGAATTAAAAAATATAACAGCAATTTTTTCAAAGTCTTAAATCAATTGGATAGATTATTTATAAAAGACAATTTTGCTAAACAATCTATTAAAATATTTATGATACAAAAAAACTTTGAAAACTTTTACTGATTTTTGGCTTACACACTTGAGATTTTGTATTTGACTTAGGTAATCCAACTAAGTCAAAACAATTGTTTTACCTTTAATTTCTGCATGCAGTATACCTGATTAAAATAGAGATTAAATCTTAACCAATTTAATTTTCACCAATGAGAATGTCAGCTTATTTTCTAAATAACAATGTAGTAAAATATTCCAAGCCTTTGCAATTAAGTAAAAGTATTTTAGTAAAAAGCTGTTAAAAGTTAACCATCCAAAGAACTCACATAATTATACATATTTATACAAAGAGAAATTGAACACAAAAATGATAAATTGCTTTAATCTTACTGGTTGCTTTCTCTGACCATTTTCACCTTTACAAACCAGAAGGTCATGAATTTTTTCATTATATACTTCAAAGAAGCTCATTTCAAAATGATAGCTGACCTAGAAGGGATAGAAATACAGAATTCAATTTATTTTTAAAATTCTTTGCTTGTATTACAAATCATGCATCTGGTAGGGATCTAATATCTGGAATATATAAAGAACTTATATTCAACAGCAAAAAAAAAGACATCTTTTAAAAATAAGCAAAGGTCTTGAATAGACATTTCTCAAAGAAAATATAAAGCAATAAACAAGGACTTAACAATTCTCAACATCATTTGTCAGAAGGGACACAGAAATCAAAATCCACAAGGAAAACTCACTTTGTACTCACTACCATGGGATAGCTGTGATCCAAAAATAAATCAGGAAAACATTAGCATTAATGTGGACATGGACAAATCAGAACATTCACCCACTGCAGGTAGAAATGCAAAATGGTGTCACCACTGTGGAAAATATTTGGCAACTCCTCACAAAACAAATGATATATATTTACCATCTGTCTCTATTTTTATGCTTCTAAAAAAATGAGAATAGGTGTTCAAACAAGGATGCATACACCAATGTTTATAGTTGCAGTATTCACAAAAAAGTAAAAATAAACCATACTAGCATAGCCATACTTATAGATATTAATTAGCTATAAAAGATAGATATTAATCAGCTATAAAAAGGAAAGAAACAATCATCACATAATACAACATGGGAGAATCTCTAAGACATTATGCTATGTGAAAGAAGTCAGGCATTAAAAGTAACATCTTGCACAATTTCAATATTTAAAATATCTAAAATAAGTAAATTCATAGAGACATACAGCAGATTAGTAGTTGCCAGAGCTTAGGAAAAAGAGGGAACAGGTTGTAACTACTTAATATAAAGCAATAAACAAGTACTTAACAATTCTCAACATCATTTGTCAGTAGGGACATGGAAATCAAAGTCCAAAAATTAAAGTACTTGGCCTTGAATTTGCAATCTTTCTGGCTTAACCTCCCAAAGTATCTGGGATTATAGGTATGTACCACATGCCTGAATCAGGGCTCTTCTTTTCTTTTTTATGAAGAGTAAATGTGATTATATTATTTTCCTGCTTAAAACCCTTCGCTAGCCCTCTAGATTTCTAGAGGCTTCGTTTATGAGGTTCTTCATGAGCCAAGCGCTGTCTGCCTCTCGGCATTCATTTCCTGTCACACTCCATTCCCAAATTCCATGCTTAAAACAAAATAAACAATTTATGGTTTCTCAAGGGCTCCCTATTTTCTTGGTTTCAAATCTCCATGCCACTCCTTCTGATTGAAATGATTTTTCTCTTTTTTCCAAGGTAATAATCACCATATTTTTCAAAAACAATTTCAGTCATTCCTTTTTCAAAGAAAACCTTTCTCCCTCCAATCTTACATATTTCTTACTTGTCTGCTTCTAATGGTTTGACTATGTCCCACAAAAGATTGGATATTGGAAATGTAATCTTCAAGTGTGTATCATTATGTTGACTTCAGGTGGGACTTTGGAAGTTAGTGAGGGTAGATATAGTCCTGATGGTGTGACTCACACATCCATACCCGCACTTGCCACATCACTGGTGATTTTTATGATTAAGCAAAGTCTAACAGACTGCCTAACAACACCAGATGCACATTAAATACTAGTCAAATGTAAGAATGAGTAATTGGAAAAGCAACCAAAGACTGTTCAGGTGTGCTACAGCTGAGAAAATACAGCTTTTAAGTTGATTGAATCTGGGTTCAAGCTTCAGCTTCCCTACTATTTCTATTTTGCTTGTCCAAATATTTGCCTGTTCACCTTAGTTAAGTCTGGGCACCTGATTGACTGCAGAAACACATAATAATATTATAACACATAATAATATAACACATATAATACTATACAGTTCACATGTGAGCTATTACACATACACCAAAGAATAAAACAAAGAAAGGTAGAGAAAAGAGACAATGAATCGATCACCATATCTACTCGCAAAAAATTGCTTCTGAATTTAGAATACTCATCTTCCCTCTTTGCATCACTTTTTGAAAAGAAAGTGATGTACAAATGAGATAACATTATTCACATCTCATATTAATTCCTTAATAGTCATGACTCTGATTTAAATTTGCACATACCTCTTGCGTTTGTTTTTTGGCTACTTGAGCAAAAAGATCTTCACAAAATCTTGGAATTATTCCTGGTTCTTCACTGAATCCCATCATTCTGAAAAATGTATCATGAATATAGTGGAAGTAACTCTAATTTGTTTGGGGGAATATAAAAAATTCTTTTTGGTAACATGGGCTGGAACAGAACAAGCTAATTAAACTTCATAGTTAATATCTAAGAATCAGCATTCTAGAGCTAAATCTGCCTACATCTCAAACTTAATTCTACGAGTTAGTAGCTGTGTGACCTCGGACAAGATACTTAACTTCACTAAACCTCAACCTCTTCCTCTTCTGTAAAATTAGAACAATAGAAGTATCTAATACAGAGGGTTGTGGTGCGAAAGCACTGGCAAAGCCTTTCGCAGCGCCTGAAATACAATAAGCACACAATAAATGTTAACTAATATTAAAATTTCAGATATTTCCTTCTAGGATAGGTATTATTATCATAGTTACCATTTATCAAAAGCTCAACTTTTTAGTATTTTTTAAAATTATTAATTGACACAGAGTAACTGTACATATTTATGCGGTCCAGTGATATATTTCAATACATGTATACAATGTATCACGGTCAGATCAGGGTAATGAGCACATCCATCACCTCAGACATTTATCATTTCTCCTGGGAACATTAAAAATTCTCTTTAGCTATTTTCAATACACAATTAATTATTGTCAGCTACAGTTATCCTACTATGCCATAAGATGGCTCTCATTTTGTAAAACCATTTTATATACAGAAATTTAATACAGCTATGTTTTTATATAAGGCAAATGTACAGGAGCATTGTCTACTTGATAAACAAGTGTCCCAAAATGCTATCCAAGTGTATGTCCAGTAAGTTAACAGATACCCACACAGTTCAACTGGAGAAAAATATAAGTCCCAAGGATCTGCCAAACATTAGACAGAGACTAAGATGCCTTACTACTAATATCACAATAATACTTAATATTGGTAATACTTGTGAGTACAAATACTTGTAATAAAATTGTGAGTAAAATTCAGTTTAAACAAGAAATATTAGTCATAGTAGAGCCAATGATACAGGTTAAACAATCTCATACGTAAACTGAAAGAGAAGTTAAGTTATTCACACATTTGCAAAACACAGTGCATCATAAGACCCATCTATGTAACTTCAAAACTATATTCTGTTAGCCATGCTGCCTCTCACAGAAGGGAAACATTTCTTGACAGCTGTATGTACAATACAACTTACGTGTATGACTTTCCAGAGCCAGTCTGACCATAAGCAAAGAGACAGGTGTTGTAGCCTTCAAAGGCTCTCTCTAGAAGAGGTACTGCCAATGTCTCATAGACACTCATCTGGCTAGCATAGCGAGGATGACATTCATCAAAAGACCAGAATGAAAAATCATAAACAAAAGTATAAACTTGTTTGTCAGGATGTTCCACAATTATTTCTTCCCCATTCATGAAGACCACCTGAGATGCCTTTTCAATCTTCTCTCTTTATAAAGAAGCACAAAGGAAGATTCAAGTTACTGTAATTATTGTGGGCGCTGTTCCCATAAAATATAATAAAGATCTCAAAAGTAGTTAAATCTACCATTCCTTCTAGGCAAAATAATTATTTACTTCTACATTGAAAATTAAGAAAACTCATTTCAAGTGAGTTTCTAAAATGTGTTTCCCGTAGCTCTCATGACATTACTCAAAAAGGAAATGGAATTTCAGATTTCTTGTCCAGAAAACCTAAACTACTTAGACAATATTTTATCTATTCTCTTGAACTATACTTTTTCCCATCCCACCTACTATAATCTACCTTGATCAAATTTGGAACCATCTTTATTACAAAGAAGTTCTGAGGTACATGTCTATATAAAACTGGCATAAAATATAAATATAATCTCAACTAACTCAGTGCAATATAAATTTCAATCGTAATTTTCTTGTGGCTATTAGCTGTTTACACTGTTAATCTAAAAGTCTTTTCTTCCACTAGATTTTTTTTTTTTTTTTTACTTTACGTATCACAAATCTTTTCTTTTTTTCTTTTTCTTTTTTTTTAAAGTTTTTTCATCATCCTTCTTCCATCTCAAATTTAGGTAGAAATCTTTCACTTATTTTAGATTTGTAGAAAAACGTTATCATTCTTTTTCTGGGCCCACATGTCCGCCACTCCCCATTTATCTACCTCTTGTCCTAAGAACCTACTCTAAGTCATCATTTATCCTGGAAATCACTTGCCTCGTGAATTTCACAAGAGCCATTCCAGGGATTGTCTGACAAGTCTGGAACCTGGCACCTTGTCACTTAGTAAGTTCTCCTCAGTGGAGTCATCCATCTAGTGTTTTGTCCCTACTAACTCTGTTCCACTATCTCTTTTCCTTTCATGGTCCTTATAAGGCAGAGAAGCTAGGCTTTACAAGTTAGGCTTCCTGACTTGTCACATTTACTCACAATCCGTTCTCCCTCTTAGTACTAAAACATTTCACTACAATATCTTTATCTGGGGCTAGAGATACAGCTTGGTGGCATAAGCACTTGCCTGGCAATTCCAAGGTCCCGAGTTCAATCCCCGGTACCACAAAAATAAATAAAAATAAAATATCCTTACTCTATTGTGTAACTGCCCTTACTTGTTCACTCTCTACCTTCAAACTGGAGGTTCCTTCCACAAAGCAGTAGTCACTGAGTCTGCTTTCAACATGCTTAGATAACAGCATCAAGTTAAAAACTATTGACCAAGTTTTTACTGTCTTTCCTTAAAATATTTGAACTTAAGCAAGTTCTACCTTCACATTTGATTATATTCAGCTTTTCACCTCTTTCCAATCTGTGACTATACCCACAATCACCTTTGGAGAATTTTTCATGTATCAAAATCAAATCACTATTTTTTAACAACAGATAATGGTACTGATGATCACCACTCACTAAAGGGTTTAGGAAAGACACCTTTGGAAAACAAGTAGGTTGTTGTACATTTCTTTCTTTCTTTCTTTCTTTCTTTTTTTTTTTTTTTTTTTGTGGCAGTGGTAGTGGGGATTGAACCCAGGGCTTCAGCACTGAGCTATATTCCAACCTCTTATTTTTAATTTTGAGTTAGGGTTTTTCTAAGTTTCCCAGGCTAGCCTCAAACCTGCAATATCCTGCCTCAACCTCTCAAGTAGCTAGGATTATAGGTGTACAACACTGCACCTGGAAGTTATGGCTCTTTTTAAAGGATTTGTTTTTAAAGACGTTCCTACCATATATCATAGATTTGAAAGCACAGTATTATATACAGAATTGGCTGACTCCTAATATATCCAGAACCTTACATACAAAAATTACACTTTTATAGCTAATCACTATTTTCTGATTTGAAAATCTTCCCAACAAACTTAAAGACGCATGAATACTTTCCAAAAGCAGAGAAGAATTAAAGACACGTTACATGGTACTAGCTTGGCCTAAAACATATAACATACCTTTTGCTGAAAGGCCTTACACGTACTGCCACAGTCACTTGACTATTCTCCACTTTTAAGAGGTCTGTTACTGTAGAGGTGTTCTGAAAGGCAGTTTCTTCAATAGGGAATGTATTTTTTTGAGAAATTTCCTTTTTACTTGAAAGAAGAGAACTTTTTGGCCTTTGTTTAACTTGAAGATTAGGTGTCCTGTTCTTCAGTATCGATGTACCTGGGCTCTTGGGCTGAGGCAGGTCATGTTTTGGTGTTGATTTGCATTCTGTTAAACATTTCACAGGGGTTCTTTTGTCTAAACTTCCAAATTGACTTGAATTTTTTGCAACATCCGTCCCAATACTAGGATGTAAGTTTCCGGTGCCCAACACTTTGACATTCAAGTTACTCTGGATAGGTTTTGTTGCCAGTGGTCCTGGTCCACCAGCCTCCCTTTGATTCTGGATATCCATGAATGTGCTACTGCTTGAATGCTTAAGCGCAGTTTTTTCTTTAGCCCCACTGAGGGCAGAGAATGTTTCTTTGTATTTCTGATCTACCATTAATGCAATGTCTTTTGTGTTCTCAGCTATCTGTGTAGAAGACGCAACAAAAGAATTTTTATTGTTATTTATAATCTTTACATTTGTCCTAGTTCTCTGTGAGGCATAATTACTTTCTGTTTCATTTTCCACATTCTGCTGTATTTTCCACTTTTCAAGAGAATCTGCTTTAGTTGTTTTCCACTTTTCCACAGAAACAGTTTTAACACGATGCTGTAGAGTAAGACTTGTTTCAGATGTTTTTTCAGTTGTGTCTCTAGACTCTCTACTAAGTAAAGAGAATTCTTTGTTTCTTGTAGGCCTTCTTTGAAGTGTCAATCTATCTATGGGATTAATGGTCAGGGGTGTATCTCCTGTTGCTTTACAAGCAGAAATAACGTAAGTGCTATTTAAGTCTCTGATTTTATGTGCAGATCTCAATAATGGATCATCCTTTTCATATTCAGACGTACCTGACTTCAAAGGCAACTTAAGTGATGAACTCTTTCGGGATGAAGGAACTTCCAGTAAATCACTGTTATTTCTATTATGAACAGTGTGTGTTGACATTTTGGCCTCAAATTCTTTTTAAAAGAATGTTAAGAACCTAAGCTCTTCTTTGTATCTTCATTTGATTTCCAGCCACTTCATATATGTTTCCTGAAATATCTGCTGAACACACACACACACACACAAAAAAAAAAAAAAAAAAAAAAAAAAAAAAAACCAAAAAAAAAAAAAAAAAAAAAAAAAAACACATCAGATTGCACAGATTACAAACATGCTTCAGGGCCAACCCACTCTCTGGAGCAACCCCCTTCTGTCCCTGTCATATAGAAACTTTCTTTCAATAAAGTCTTCCTACTCAAAAAAAAAAAAAAACAAAAAAACAAAAAACAAAAACTTCAAAAATATTGAGAATCTCCTATTGTGAAAGTAAGTTCTCAGAGATATATACGTTAGAATAAATCACAATCTCCAGCTCATATGTCACTTCCAAGCAGCTTCTGACAAATCTCTGCCTTCAAAAGGCTTCCAGTAACTGCTGAACAACTATTTGAGTCTTCTATTACATGCCAAGTTCAGTGATTCATACCACCGGCTTCAAAGACAAGAGCCTTGTTTCTATTTCTTTAATGTTGAAGGAATGAAGATACAAATAAGCTTTACATCAGATAAGATGCACCAAGTGGCTTAAGAGATGCTACAAAGTGAATGCCAGTACACAGACAATTGTTTTTAATACTCCCAGCTTGAGGGCAAGGGAAAAAGACTACTGGACCTAAAGACTATAGCACCTAAATCAGAGTCAGGAGCAAAGCAATTTTAACTGTTTAGCTACATGTTGAATACAGAACTTAAATTGATTTCACAAAGCAGACTATTCCCAAATAAGTACGGCAGATATTAAATACTACAAAACGGCTTGTGTTGAGAAAAATTATGAAAGACGGGAAAAGAAGATAACTCCTCATTAGTCAATAAGCTAGATAAAGGCTTATGCAAACATAATGCCAATATTCTCCACCAGGTGTTAAAATTTAAAAGAGAACAAAAGTGACAGCTAGGAGACTTGGCTTTTAGTCAAATATGCATCAAACTCCTTACATGGATGTAAGCAAGTCTTCAAATTTGCACACCTAATTTGTAAATGATACTGGCTCAAACTATTCCGGAGATCATTGCTACTGGGGAACAAATAAAAGCTCACTTTAAAGAGACTTTTAACGTTTTTCAAAAATAAAAATCATCATTACAAAAAAGGCCAGCGTTCATAAGCATCTCTCATCAAACCTTCAACGAAAGTATACAATTCTCTATTATAAAATGGGCTTCAAGGCAACAGCACCATAAAACAGCATTTACACAAGACAGTATAGTTTTTGCAGTTTTGCCATCAGATTTAAAGAGGACTGGAAAAAACACACGGAAAACAAGTCACAACTCAAAGCAAAATACCACGTAGATGCTTTCTACATCTAGTACCAACCCGGGCAGTGGGTAGAGAAAGTACCTCTCCATCAAAGCCAACCGACCCCGCCCGACTTCGCGGAGTAGGCGGCGCCCGGCGGCCCAGGGGTCTGGCATGCGGGTCGGGACCGAGTCGCGGCGCTCCAGCGCCCTTCCTCCACACACCCCTCCACAGCCGACCCGGAGCTCTGGAGACAGAAGCGGGGTCCGGGGCTAAGACGCTCGTTCGCGCCAGTAGCGGAAGCCCGTCGCGGAAGTATCTGCACGCACCCCCAAGGCCCGCCACCTCCCGAACCCTCTGGAGACTCCCCTGCCGTCACTCACCTACCTCAGCGCTGGTGCCCGCGGTGTCCGCAATTTGAATGGGTACCTCGCCTTCTGATTGGCTGCTTGGCGTGACGTCCTACGCCGCGCCTTCACTTCCTCCTGTCCCCGCCCCCGGAAGCGCCGAGGATTGGGTTCCGTCCTCATCTCCCTGGCAACCGTGGGGCGCCGGCTAGCACACCTGTGCATCCTACGTAAAGGAGGGCGGGAAGGAACCGCAGGTGGCCCTTCTGCTAAAACGAATTTTTGAAGAAGAAGCGTAACGTGACACACGTGTGGACCCTTGATGAAAAGAAGCCTGCATTCCGTCATACAGACTTAAGACTTCACACTGTAAATGTATGTTTCCTCATGTTAATCATGGTAGTACGTTGCTAGTATTTCCTATACCAGGCTTGTGGTGGGAAACGTAAGAAATGTCTTATCCCGTTTTTTGTTTGTTTTCTTAGTCTTGAAAATTCTGTAAGTATTGATAATACCCCCAATTTACTGAGGAGAAACTGAGGTTTAGAGTTAATACACTTGTGAAGGATCAGACACCCAGCAGGTGGCTTAATTAGAAGTCCCAAGCAGGTGTCATAAGATTCAAGTAAATTTCAGTAAGTTTTTCCATAATATTTTGAAACAAGAAAAACGTGCAGACCTGATGTATAATATAGCAAATGCTCAATAATAATGCTCTGAAAAACAACCAATGCCCCATGAAGAACTCTAGCCGAATACATATACTAAAGTAACAATATTTTAATGGGAAAAAATGCAAGTAATGATAATTATTCAGTGGGATAGAAAAGGAAGCCAGAAAAAGCATCTACATAAAAAAGTTGAATGGATGATAAGCCATTCTAAAATGCACTCTAGAAGTCTTTCCAAAATTGTATTAAAATTTTGTTAAAAAGATACCATCAGAAAATATATATCAGATTCACTGGGGAAATTCAGTTTAGAAGCAAAAAAAAAAAAAGATATAACAAAAAGACAAAATTAAAAAAAAACATGGTGGGGGCCAGGGAGATAGCTCAGTGGAACAAGTGTTTGCCTGGCAAGCGGAAGGTTCTGAGTTTGATCCCTAGTACCACCAAAAAAAAAAAAAAAAAAAAAAAAAAAGAGAGAGAGAGAGAGAGAATTTTAATTTATGTATGATTAAAATAATAAAAGTAAAATGTAAGACAACTGGAAAATACAATAAGTATTGAAAGAGATGGAATGGTCTTTCAATTTTGTAAGGTAAATGAATGTATAAATAAACTATGAAATGGCTAACAATACTCCACACAAAAATGATTTACACACATACAAAAATATTTGTTATAAAAATAGAATGCAAGCTCCCAAACACTGTGGGTTTTTTTTTAATGTGCATATAAAAAACTTCTTTTTCATTTTAGTGCTGGTGATATGCACCAGAATTAAAAGCATGCATTTCTAGTGAAGTGTATCTGGAGTGCTTCTTGGGGACAGACACCTGTCTGTTCATGTTTATCCCCACTGCATAACATGAGACCTGATGTATAATATAGCAAATGCTCAATAAATATTTGTTGAGTAATTAACAAACTCTTTTGGAAAGTAGTATAATAATGTAATGAAAAAACCATAAAGACATTCATACCATTTGACCTAGACACCACATAAGAAAATATTTTAGTAGAAAACAAAAAGTTCACCTGAATATTGCCGATCTGTACTCACTCCAAAGTGGAAGATATCTAAATGTCTAACCACAAGAGAACGCTATAAATGTTTTTAAAAACAGAAAAAATAATTATATTACAATTATTGTGCTCACTATCAGAAACTTTAGGTTTGCTTCTAGCCATGGGGTTAATCTTCCGCATAATCAAGAGCCACTTGTGAGCTACCTCCAGGTTGATCAAGAGGGATTTTGATCTTTTAGTGAGTTTTACGCTGAAATAGCCCTTTTCTCTGCAGATCTCATTCAAAGCTGACCAGCAGAGGTCACCTAACCATGGAGTGGCTCAAGTTCCTCAGCTAGAATTGTGGGTGATAATGCCCCCTATCGGGAAGAGTCATAGTGGAGACTGAATTGGATAATGTATGCAAAGTGTTTAGCACAGGATTAATGCTCAAAAAATGTCAACTAGTAAATTACATAACCTGATATAACTCTCCAAAGCACTGAAAACCTCCATTCAAGACTAATGGTGAGGGGGCTGGCCAAGTACCTCAGCGGATTAAAGCGCCTGGCAGCCTGGGGTTCAATCCCCCAGGGCCTGCCATGCCAGCCCCACCCCCAGGGCATACTGAGACGGCCAGGGAGACTGGGCTTGGTGGCGCACACCTGCAATCCCAGCTCTTGGGACGCTGTAAACAGGTGGATCACTAGGACTCCAAGCTAGTAGTGAGACCCTGAATACCCTGTAGATCCTTCCCTAAAATACAATAAATAAATAAATAAAAATAAGAAAAAAGACTAATGCTGAAAAAGTGTGGGTTCTCTGTTATAAAGATAATACATATTTTATGAAAAATTGAGGATTTTTTTATCGTAATAAATTATTTATTTTTTAAAATAAATTTGAGAGGATTATTTTTTTATGAAATTTTTTTTCTTTTTCCCAGAGAGGATTATTTTTAATCCCTAGAAATAACCAACAAGATGAAATACAGAGTCCTTTTATAATGGCCTCAAAACAGTGAACCACTATCTAAGGGCAGTATTAATTCCTGTTTTGCTCCAATTTGATTAAATTTTTAATAAATGTAGACATTGTGTGCTTTTTGAAGGGTTTTTTCTTTCAAAGGATAAAGAGAAAAGAGTCTAGGAAATACATATTTGTCCAGAAAAAGATTTGTAGGCTAAACAACCTGTCACTTCTCAGTTCATCTGAAGCCTTCGTCCCTCTGAAGCAGCAGCCAGCATGCCACCTGACTGTAACACCTAAAGTCAGTAGGCATTATCACAGCTCTGCTGTCCCACGTAGGCAGAGGGAGAACCTTGTTATGGCTAACACCGCAGCTGCTTTAAAGGCCCTATATTTTCAGCCAGGTGAGGTGGCACACACTGGCAGTGCCAGTATTCTGGGAGACTAAGGCAGAAAGATTACAAGTTCAAGCTCACAGTGGACAACAGTGATTTAGCAAGACTCTGTGTCAAAATGAAGAAGGGTTTGGGAGGTAGCTCAGTACAAAGGTTCTTCGTGCAATCCCCAGCACTGCATAAATAGCCCTATATGTTCAAGTCTGAGTTGAGGTGTGACTCATTAAATTGATAGTTCCTTCACCAGATTAGAGTCAAGGACTGGCATGGCACT